TATTCAATTACAAATACTCGCGTAAACTATCCAGCAGCCATGTTTGATGTTTATTACCGCTTTCCGAATTCAGTACACGAACACCCAGAATGCGCTGTTCCCCTATGCAACTTAGATACTAAATCGTTACAGCGCCAACAGCGGTGGGTAGCAGACGGTCGTTGAATGGGGTAGGCCAAAAGGTCATCAGTTTGCCTTCTCCATGCTGTTTTCACAATGAAAATCGAGCGAACGTTGTAAATACGGATAGAATTTAAATTTTTGTTCGAGTTTACATGCAATCTGCTAATATATTTGTTTATTTTCTGTGCATATACATTTCGTTCGTATTTACTTCTTTCTTTCGTGATCGGAAGACGATTATTAAAAATACAGCTGTAAATTGAAACCACTGTAGTTGCGTATCGTGAGCAATAAGTGGCAACAATGTCGGGCGACAATGAATTCAAGCGATTGACACATTGCCATGAATACACTTGATAACTGCTTGCAGACTTCCAATGGACATTGTTTATGTTTGGACTGTTGAAACAATAGCAAAATAAAGGGTTGGGCAGCTACTCTTTTGTTTAGGCTTGGGAAGAACAATGCAAGCTTTTTACAAATAATTTCAGCTGGATGTACGTTGGTGGGCGGGTGTTGAGAGTTACTGGGCGGCCGTAAAACTTGATGGGCGGGCCGCCCGCCTAAAACCCCTTGTGGAGAACACTGTATATATATATGGTCTGAGCAAATATATTCGTTTAACACTTCACTCTAATTGATTTAATAATAGAAATTATTCACATTTCACTGATATGAAATACAATAGACTTCTGGAACCTACAAGGAAGGTTAGTGAAACTGGATTGGTCCAAAGACAGGGGACGAAATACTCTGGTGCACACTGCACTATGCACATAGATTCTTAGCTAGCGCAAGTAAACTCAAAATATTGTGTGCACACTGCATGTAGAAATTAACATTTTCTCATTATATTCACTAAGCCTAAATTAAGTTCAACCAACATTATGACAACTTGAAAAAAAAACTAATTCTTTCGTGATCGCATGAATCGATAACCCGTAAATTTTATTAAAACTTTGAAATTGGTGCATTTCACATCAAGTTAGTGCAGGTTAATTTCAAATTCAACATGCACACTGTGCATGCAGGGAGGATGAAATACCAGAACTCAAGTTGTACCGGTACTCATTGTTTTACTCTAACTAAACTGACTCCTGACTTGACTAACTATCAGACATGATTGATTGCTAGACTGTCCCACAAGGCTTAGTCCAACTTGAATCAGATACCAAAATATTGTGATGTGTGTCATGGTCCTATAATTTGAATACCAAATTTGAAGGAAATTTGTCACAAAAAACCAATATCTAGTTCTCGATTGACAGAAATGTCTGATTTTGATTAAAATGTAACACTATAATGGCCGCCATTCTGCAATCTTGAGTCCTATTACAAAAGAAATGCATGCACATCATTTAACCCCCACAAGATGCATGATGTATGCGTAAAGTTTGAACATGAACATTCTATGTGCGGGCAAACTGACAAACAGATGTACAGAGGTAAAATTATTATTAAATTATTATAATTATTTTAGACTTTTTGAATATATCAGCCAGTTATACGCTT